GTATTGTTAAGTGCTATTTAAACTTAGGGACAGTTTAAGTACGCATATTGAATTTTGTTGTCTGAAATCTGTGCTGCTTTTATAGCTAGGCTGTTGCATGCACTTCTTTTCTAACCTCCTGACTCGGTCTTATACTCTTGTACACCGTCAGTATTTCAGTGTTAACTTGTAACGTTATCAGTATTGGGATCAGGAAAACTCCGACAAAGTCCTTTGTCTGGAGTAGACCACGCGGTACGCCTCCCTTCCCCCCTATACTTTGATAACATCACAAGCACTGTTTCATTGTACCTGAGCGCATCTTGGTGCGCGTACACAACACCCATTCACACCTCCGTGAGCGCATACACGCCTCACGTGTTTCCTGTTGCCGTTCCTTCTACCTCGCAGTTCTTCTTCCACTGCGCAGTCGCGTATGTGAACACGCCTCAAGGGCTCAGTCGCTTGCTTGGTAGCTAAGAGGCAACGTCTCTTTCTCTCTCGTACACGACCACTCGTGTACACACGCACACACACACTTGTTTTGTTGTTATGATCATTGTTTATGATCATAACAACTGTGTTTGTCTGTGTTGTTATCATTAAAATTCTACTTTGTAGAATTTGTAAAATCCCCATGTCTTTCACAGCCTGGAATTATAACTTGTGAATGAGACTGATTTGTGTTATTGATTTGAGACTGATTAATAACACCGAGTGCTCCTATGCAGCACTCGACCCATTGCACCTACACAATATTTATACCTTTTTTTGTACAGCTTACATGGAAATATAAATAAAGCTAACAATTAACTTTTTTTAATGTTGGGGTCAATCTAGGAAAAGTCATCAAATTTCAAGTTGAAAAAATATTGTTTAGGGGATTTTTATTTGGTTTTTAACACAGTGGCGGGTCATTTTGACCCGAGGACAACAGGAGAGTTAAGCATGTTTTACAAAAGGTCACCACCAACTCCTGTTTTGACCACACTGACACTACTGTGGGTCACGTCAGTATCTGTGTCTCCGTGTTAAAGCTGGCTGGGTTAAGTCTATTACTGTGGTCTGCTGGCTGTGCAGCAATGACGAGGATTACAGAGATAAGTCTTTAATGCCCTCAAACACATTTCCATGTTTCTAGCAGCTCTTCTTCAGCCCATTGTGTCCTCTCTACCAGATGAATCCTCTCAGCTTGTTCACTCATTATCTGGACTCCTGAGGAAACAATCATCTGATATGAAGACAGTTCTCACCCTGGTGCTGTTCATCTCACTGGCATGCCACAGTAGGTTTATTTACCCCACAGTTACACTTAATGCTAGATTTAAGTTGTTTTAGAGGTAAGAAGATCAGAATTTAGACTTGAACTCGAGGGTCCATGGAGGTACTGCAGGGGCTCATAAAGTTTTTGGTTTATTACATTTTTTATATATACAGTATTTATTATTATTTATGAAGTATTTTTTTCTACTTCATTTCTACTTAATGTTGTCAATGTAAATCTGTGTAGTGTACTACTGAACTGAATGAAAAATAACGATTATTATATATCATAATTACAGCAACTGCAGACCAGTTGATGAAAACTAAAAGCAGCATAGAAAATATTTTATTAAATAATGTTTGCTTGCATTGAAGCTTATTTCAACTAAACAACTGTAAAGTAGTTTATAGTCTAAGTGCTGCATGATTTTGGATGTGTGTCATGTTAAACTGTTCAAAAAATGACAAAAAAGTTCTATCTAATTTTTACAGGAAAATAAGCTTTTGTCACGAATATAATTAAAGTGTGGCGTGAACTCACAGTTATTGTACATTTGACTCAGTGTCCACCTGCCTGTGAACATTCACGCTTAGTCTCAAGTCAGTTGCTCTCTCCTGCTCTGTCTGCCAAGGCCACGCCCTCAAGTGTCACACGTGCGTGGCGTCCAATGAAGACGACTGCAACCGACAGGGTTCCACCCCTTGTCCCCAGTTCGCTGACGCGTGTTCTACCATCACAGGACCGAGTGAGTCAACGACAAACAGAGACACAAACACAGAGAGGCCACACACGTCTTATCCATGTACAGTTGTACAAAAGTCCCACTAGTAGTGATGGGAAGACCGACTATTTTTATTGATTCGAATCTTTGACTCTCGAACAGTAAAATGAACGAGTCGTGAACGAATCATTTCATTCGTTTTACAGCAGGTGACGCTTTAGCCCTATTGTGGGCGTTGTAAAGAAGGCTGCAAACCACAGACATGGTTTGCTTCCGCTGACAAAGTCTACAAAGTACACAAAATACCATAAGCAATTAAAACCATTCGAAAAGCTAAGAAATAAAAACACATCACAATGTGAAGATGAATGAGAGCAAAAAAGACCTGAGCTCTCTGTCACGTGACAAATGAAACGAATCTGTGAGAACGAGGCGAAAGATTAGTTCACAGAGAATGATCCGTTTATAGCGAAAGATTAGTTCACAGCAAAACTCGGTAGTCACGAGTCACGAATCTTTCATATGACTCGGGAGTCGTTCATTTTGAACTCGCGAACGACACATCACTACCCACTAGAGGTCATCAATTCACTGACACCTTGAAAAGCTCGGCTGACTTGAATTACTTTCGTTAACAACAGTTTTTCTGTTTGATTGGAAAAGCTGCGGGGTTTGAACAAACGATGCCCTTTAATTAAATTCAGCATCTTCTTCTGTTTGTTTAGATAGTGTTTATGCTGTTTGTGTGTGTGCATGTGTGTGTGGGGGTATGTGTGTGATTATGAAAGCCTCAGCTTCTGCATCCTCTCATCATTTGAGGTTGCTGGATGTTGTCCCAGCACTTTATGAAAACCGCGACTCTTTCTAAACCTTTAAATGTGTGTGTTTGAGAGAAGTTCAGTAAGTTCACAGCATTGAACCAAATTAACAAAAGCTCTCATTTTCTGGTTATTTAATGGCCTTGTAACTATTGCATTCCCTCTTTCAGACACAGTGATGAAGTCCTGCTCTTACAAGGCCTTCTGTGACAAGGCTAACAGCGCTACTTCTGGCGCCAAAATTATGTGCTGCTTTGGTGACGACTGCAATGGGCCCCACAAGAGCCAGAGTCACGGGGAGCAGCACCGCAGCAGTTCAGGAGCCGTGGCCTCCAACCCTCTGATGCTGATCACAGCACTGATGCTGCGTGTGGCTCTCAGGCAGCTGTGACCACGTCCTCAGTCCACCACTGCCTCGTCCTCGTCTCTGTCTTTTTAATATAAGCCTAGCGTTCATGTGATGTGTCCTGTAAATGGAAGCAGCTTTATTTTATTTATGACAAATTTATGACTTTTATACAACCTGTGATAAACTGTGGACAAAATGGGTGTGGAAAATAATTTTTAAAATCTACCAATTTCACCCTCAATGTGTTAGAAAAGGCCACCCCAGAAGTCCCCTAGATAATAGAAAAACTATTTTCCACCCAGTTGATGAAGCTAAAAGTGTGAGTGGTACGAACTAGTGAGGTACCTTCTCACAGCCCTGACCTAAAAGGTGTGTGTGTTGTGGTTTTGGTAGCTGCTTTTGTGTCTTAGCCTGCTTGATACCTTACAACCACATATGTAACTGTTGTTGTTGCAATCAGCTAAATTCGGTTCTACATCGATTAAGGAGAAAAGTATTTTATATTTATGCATAAACGCTCGTTTGAATAAAGATGTCATCACATCGTTTGATTTGTGTTTAAATCTGCCTGAGATCACTTTTGCACTTTTGGTTTTACACCTTGGTTTGACATCCTGCACTCGACCTTTAAAGGTCAAACACAAAAGATTTTTTTTTAATAATGCATTTGTTAAGTTCACGCGCACTGAACTTGAAAAGAAGAAGAAGAAAAGTAACGCTAGTCTGTGATTTTCAGCAGCCATTCCAGGGGATCTGCAAAAAAACTTTAAGACTTCCTTCTCTAACTGTATGAATTCAATTCTGTGCACTCGCCACAGGATATGAAATCAGTGAGGTAGGTCTCTGTCCTCAAGCAGGTCATATGACATAAAACCACTTCCTCAGAACAGGACCAGGCAGTTTGTAGCCAAAGACAGACTCATGTACTGCTGTCAGAAATGTGCTGAAACAGTCATATTAGTCTCATCACTGCACTGAAACAGTCATTAAGAGGTGGTGAAACAGTGAAGCAATAGTACTGTGTACATTTGAACAGGGAATTGAATTGCATTAACTTTGTTAAAATTATTATCTCTCACAGATCACACATTGCAGCACTGAATTCTTCAGCCTCTATCACATTCATTTCTCCTGTGGTCACGTGTTAAAGTCAGTGACATCATCTGTTCTCTGTTTTAAATCTGGAAACCTCAAACACTGCAAGAGTTTTCAGGCTGATCTGCTGCTGTAACAACTGTAACACTGAACTCATGCATTTATCATATTGATATTACGCCCCCTATGTCTAACAATTTTATGTAGGGACTAATGTTTGGATCATCAGCCAAGCCATTTACTCCAGTTGTGAAAACTAAAATGGGAATAAAAAATATGCATTAATGCTGGAATTATTACAAAATAAACTATGTTTTCACGGCCTGAAGAAGAGAAGAGAAAACTAGAATCATTTTCATTTAGGTCAACTTCTGTCTACTGTCGACTTCAGTATCTTTCTATTGTCACTACACAGAGACAAGAAACTCAAATGTATTTTGGGTCATTTCCAGAGCAATTTTGTCAAATTATAGAGAAATATCTAGTTTCTGTGCCTCTGCCTGAAGGGCAGACTTTTCCAGAGGCATTATTTATAAGAGCTACAAGCTGGGCTTAGCAGGAGGTAAAAGTCTACAGAAAGAACCAGGCCAGCATCCAGAGCTGAAGCTGCTGCTGAAATGTTAATATATTTGTGGTTTTAGGGGCAGTTTAGAACAGTTTAGTTCCTTATTTGAGGCAGTAGAGGAGGGGAATGGGAGGAGGGGAAGAAAGGGGAGGGGGAGGGAGTCGGAGCTATGAGGGCGCATAGCTCACATCCGGGGCTGGTTTATTCTAATACCGAAACGTCCAACCCGGAAAACAGTCTTCTGTAATCCGAGCAGAGAAAACAAATAGACGAGGCGGTGTCAGTGTGAGGCAGGCCGTAGCTGCGACTGTCTGCTCTGTGTAGAAGTTGTGGAGAACCTCAGTGGAACATGGTGTGTTCCTGCAGACCGGAGTTTAACAAGTGTTCCCTCTGCTTCGTGGCGGCGCAGGGCGCTGGCTGTGGCGCACACTAACTGTACACACAAAAACAAGGGTAAGTGTGTGTTTCTCTGTGTGTGCGCTGACAGTAGGTGTGGCTCTCTAGTTCGGGTGAGTCAGTGCAGGTCACCTGAGCTGAACATATGTAATGTCAGTCAAGTGTTGCTGAGTAACTGGTCCCATCCAGAGTCGCGGCTAGCCCTCAGGTTGGCGGGGGGCCTGATATTAAGTTGGGCACCTTTTTTTTTCTTTTAAACGACATTCAACGTTATTTAGTTTAGAGTTATGTAGGTCAAACGGTAAACTAGTGGTTAATGTTTTTGCTTTACAGATAGAAGAGCATTGGTTCGAGCCCTAGCGATAAATGTAGTTTGTTATATATAGAGTTTGCAGGGTGTGTGTGTGGGTACTAGGTTATCTAACTCCTCCATCTCAGACTTAAAATTGGTAATTTGTCCATATACAGTATATATGTGTGTGTGTGTGTGTGTGTGTGTGTGTGTGTGTGTGTACTCAGATTCATATTGTGGCACCCTTTCTCCAGAAAAGTTGGAATCCTGATTAATGATAAAATTAAAACTCTAACAATACTTATCTTTCATCATTCAAAGATAAAAATGTTTCAAATGAATAAGGGAGAAATCTGTGGTCAAAGGTTGGATGTGCCTGACCTTAAAGCACTGTTATGTTGTGTGAGACAATGTCATTTTACTCTGATTCTCAGGTTCAGGTTTTTTTTGTTTTTGTTTTTTTTGAAGCAACTAAAATGTGTTGCTTAAAATCATCACCAGAAGGGATTCCTGAGACTAAATATTTACCACTATATTACCACAGGAGTGTATATCAAAAAAATGCTTTCCTGTTCAGTAATGTTATCACTATAATAAAGTAGATTACACAGGATAATTCTCCTCATACGTCAACACTTAGGCTGCAGCTGTTGTGGTCAAAACAGAAAAATATTGTTTTTTAAATCAATCAATAGCTGGGTGTAAAAGAAACAGAATCAGAAATCCTTTTTGGACCCAAGTGGGGAAATTCCTGCTTTGTTTCAGTCCCTCCGGTCATTGGCAGCAACAGAACAAAGTGAGGAGTCAGTGGCAGCAAGTTGAGGTTCTTCCACAGTGTCCTAAACAGTTCACAGAATTAGGCTTTTTCATTTGGAAATTAACGTTGTTAATATCATTAGACGGTTCCTTGTTGTTGGAAAATCCTTTTGCTCCAAATACTGTAGTTACTGTAGTTTTTAATGTCATACACATTTGATGATAGGAGGGAGTCGGTGAGAGTTCACTCACAGACTGATGATCATCTGGGGTAGTTTCAAGCACATCTATGAAGGAACCTCAGACTGTTCTTTTCAGAAGGTTGTCTCAAAGGTTCATTGGTCTTATCTGATGATCTGTTTCTGCTACGTGTCAGTTTTTGACTTGGTCTCATCCTGAGAAGACCTCAGTAGTGCTTGAAGTTTTCTGAGCGGCTAAAGTGACGTTTATGTCGGTCAACAACAGGTATGGGCAAACCTTTTCACTCATGGGCCACAATTGTCCTAAAATTGAACAGGGAGGCCGGATCAGGAGCAGATAGATGGAGCATTTATGTGAACTAACTATTTCTTTGCCATCTATTGGGGAAATGTGGGTATTACAGGGAAAATGCAGATGTATAATGATAATAAATTATATACTGTGCCAGCCTCTAGTCAATGTTTGAATTGTTCAGGTCCAAACTGGGTTCAGTCTTTCAGTAGTGTCTTGACAGTAATTTTTATCAAAGACATGTTTTTTAAGGTTTTGTCTTTTCTTTTCTTTTTTGTTTTTTAGTTTAAGCTTCATTTCTACAGCTGTCAGTTTATTCAATAGTGCAAGGGCTACTGTAAACCTCAAGATAAACGTTCCTGCTCTGGTTGTTACAACTTTGAAAGCTTTGTTACTTTTTTATGCCACTGTTCTGTTGTCTGAGCATTTGGAATTCATCAATGATGCAACTTAAATCATTTGCTAAGTTTTCATAAGGTTATTGTGTCTTCATAAAAACAAAATTAAGGTTTTCAGAGGCTGTTATTCAGTGTATTTGTGCCTTGGTTCTACAAGTATGTCTGCTGACGATGGGTGAATGATTAATTATTTGATTTATGTAATTACTGATTCAGATTATTTAATTGATAGCTGCACAGATTGTTACAGTCTAAAAATTGAGTTGTGTGAGGTCATCAGCAGCTCAACAGTAATCATCCAGTGTCCTCAGATTGACCTATTTAAATCTTGGTAGGGAAAAGTGGAGCAGTTCTAAAACTGATTGTAATTTGAAAGGACACAATTAACAAATAGCAACGGCTGCAATTTTGGATCAACATTACACTGCATCTCTGAGACAGATACGTGGCTTTAGATTTGTTTGAATGCCTGATTTCTTCACGTCACAGTGACCAGAATATTTCATTTTATATAATGACTCGGTGATGATCACAATCCAGTCTGATATAGCATCAGTGTAGTGCTTGCGTTAATATGTACTATGTAAATGTTCAACAGGTGGAGTTTGTGAGGACGTATTATAATTTTTTGGAAATAGGTTTTACTTGCTATAAAATATAATACACATACTTTTGTATCACCTTAATCCACATTCAAAATTAAAATGAATACCAGAACATGCATACTGTGTAAAAATAGCACAATAAACTTTTTACAAAAATACATATTTTCTATAGTAAATGTACAGTATATACAAAAAATACTAAGCCAGTATATATTTACATTTTATAGTTATAAATATGTAATCCCTATATATATTATATAATTTATTCAATAACTACATATATTTATAAATATATACTGTACATTTATCAAAAATACTAGTTGCAGTGTGATGAGGACTCTTTGCTTCAGCAGCATCTTCTGTCTTAACTGTAGTTTCTCATTGCCTTGAATAAAGCAGATGTGTGTTCTCTGTGTAGGTGCAGATATTCAGCAAACAAACTGAGTGTGGGTGAAGACCATATCTGTAAAATCACATCTGTGGTTTTCTTGTATAATGCATGCCTCGTCCTCATGCAGACAGACTGTTTTCCACTTTAGGTTTGATCAATTCTGTTGACTTCTGATTAATCTGATAAACTCTCTGACTCACCGACGTCTCGGTTACTGGTTCAGTTTCTGCCAAGGATGCCACAGCTTTCACTGCCTAATGGTTAATGGTTAAACCAGATGTTTTCTGATACCCAAAATGGTTTGTGCGAGTCTGTGCCAGCATTGTAGGTTTCTGACCTCCAAATCATTATATTCACTTTTCCATTACATGCTGATTGTTTTTGTGTAAAATAATGGAGGAGAGCTTCTAGAAACAGTTTGTATTTCTGACCCGTTACAATGGCAGAAAGAAATTTGTTGAATAGCTGACACATCAGAAACAAAAACCCACAAGGTTTTGAAGGCAGTTCAAAATGAAGCATTTTCCAAACCATTGCTTAAAATAGTTCCACAGGAGGTTCATGGTTAAAGATGCAGCAAGTACTGTTCCCCCCGTGAGAACCAGCCTCTTTTATGCAAGCCGACAGAAAATTATTAATTACGTTCTTGTCTATTTATATATACAGTTTATATGTGTATGTATCTGTGTTTGTGTGTATGTATTAGGGCAATAAAAAGATTATAATTTGAATCTGATTAATTGTGGAATTACAGCACACAGTTAATGATGATTAATTATAGTTGTAATTGATTTCAATTCATTAATAATCTAGATAAATCAACCTTTGTCAATATGACAAAAAACCCTTTTCTGTATATCACTATGCAGCTCTGCAGCTGTACAGTCTATTGACTGCATGTGTGTATGTAAATACTGCATATGTTTCTACATATATACACACATATTTATATATGCATTTGTGCATGTGTGTATGTATGTATGTATACAACTTATAGCTAGGGCTTCTTTACAGGATGTTTATATGAGTATTAAGTCTGGCAATTTGCAGCTAAACACAAGAAAACAATAACAACCATGGTATAAAAAAAGCGAGTGAAGGTGATGGACATTTATGGACATATATATTTAAAATGTGTTCTGGTCAACCCTCAAATAATTGTCATGGCATCAGTGCATGAGCCATGTACCCATTATGCAGAGGAACTATTAAAGATGACGGTCCCTAGATCCCTGCACAGAAATGGTGTGATAGTTAATGGACCAATAAAAATGCCAATTCTGCTGAGGAGACACCTTCAAACAGAACTGATGAAGATGTAGTGGTCTGTGTTCTGTGGTGCAACTGTAAGCAAACGTTCTACACAGCTGACAACAAGGGTCTGGTCTCGAAATATTGGCCTTTGTATGTTTTGAAATAATTGTGTGTGCAAAGTAAATTCATTATTTTTAAAAAACCTAACTAAGTCGGTAGGTTTAGAAACATGAGCTTAATTTTTGCTCTTCTTTGTGTAAAAACTGTTGAGAAATACTTTAAAACTGAATAGTGGGGGTAATGACTTGCACTCTGACTGTCGGATACGTTGTCTTGTTGTAAATAAAAAATAAATCACAGATGTGGTGTGGCTGACATCATTACAGCTGCGACATCATTACAGTATACTCAGGCTCTTTCCTTACATTCAAATATATGGAGAAGTACAAAAATACAAACGAGAAAAACACCATAAATCTACTTTGCATGTTTTATTCAGTGCATCTGAGCAGAGTAACTCATTTTAATAACCTTACATACGGTACTGTAAAGTTCCCACTGCAGCCTGAAACAGACATCTGTCTGTGTCACATTCCAGAAGTTTTCTCACTCCACCATGGTAAAATAATCCTCCTTAAATGTATTGTCAGATTCTCATTCTGCTGGAGAGTGAACAGGACTGATTTCTGTACCTGACTATTATTCAGCTGTCAACCAGCAGCACGGTGATATCTATGCACGTCATCACCTTCACCTTGAATATACCTCAGTGGCCTATGCCCCCACGCCTTTTCTCCTCTCCTTTCTTATCCTCTTCTCGTCTCCCTGGTCTTTCTTCCCCGGCTGGTGGAAATGTGCGTGTGTGCGGATCGTGAGTGCAGTCTGTAATTTTTGGCTGTGGTGGAGGCCCTCAGCTCAGCCTTAGGCTTCAGGCTTCTGCTGCTCAGCCTCAATCATGTCACATGAAAAACTGCTGAGTATGAGCAAGACTTCTTCTTCCCCTGTGTGTGTGTGTGTGTGTGTGTGTGTGTGTGTGTGTGAGTGTGCATTTACAAAACCCCATATCCAGAATTGTGCATTTCCTAAAAATTAAATACGAGCTTAAATCAGTTGCTTGAAAATTAGTTTTAAGATTTGTTTTAGAGGTTATAACACACACAAAAAAAACCAAGATTGTTTGTGTTCATTGACAGATTATTCTTTAGCTAAACAAACTATCCTGAAATTGGTTAACCCTGAGGCCAAGTAATGGGTAGTGGTTAAAGTGTAATGTTAAAAAAAAGTAACACTCTGCAAGGTTACATATTTATCTTTTACAGTAAGTGGTACCAGTTTTAGGATTATGTATAAAAGGAGCATCCTCCAAAGGTTCAGTGTTAGCAATTGAAAAATCAATTAACAAAGCCAACAACCGTAGTTTCCTTGTGCACAATGGCAATGAACTAAAGTGAGGCTTTCACTCTCTATAGTTAATACCTTAGAGACAAGAAACAGTGATGTTACAGAAGTTACAAGTTACAGAACCTGCTGCTGAATGTGCATGATTGCATTAACACTTGATTGCGTTAACACCTATTGTTTAGATGAACATAACCTACACTACCACTGTTATACAGTGTTCCTAAATACAACTATAAATACAACCGGGTTGTTTACAATACAAATGTAGCAACCCACTAACACTGTTGTTATGACTGCTGTTTGCACAATAAACTGTTGTAAATGTCAGTGTGTTTCTGCAAAAAAAAAAATTCCAAAGTGCATTTGTTATTGTTATTATCATTACTCCGTTAGTGTTTTAAATATTTGTTAATACTTAATGTGCATCTTTTTATATTTTGCCCATTGTGGTTGTGAGAGAAACACAATTTGCACATGCTACAGAACTGAGCATAAAGCACACTTTGACTTTGAGACACTAGGACCCTAGCGAAAGTTTATTATGTTTTTTTTTTTTAAATTTTTTACAAAAGGTATGCTGAGTTCTCTAGGCCAAGCTCATATGAAATAGACGGAGAGACAATAGAAATATGTTCTGTGGTCTGGATTGTATGGACTGTATGTCAAAATGAAAAGCTTGAATTGTCTATCATAACAAGTCTTTGTCTGTCTCTTCACCATCCATCTGTGGTAGTGATATGTGATAGCAGAAGCAGCAACAGCAGCAGCAGAAGCAGCAGCAGCAGCACTATGCCGTACCTGGATCGGCTGAATCGCGTGTGTGGTTTTCTGGACATAGAGGAGAAGGAGAACAGCTGCCGATTCCAGAGGAGATACTTCATCCTGGACACACAGGGAAATGCTCTGCTGTGGTACATGGACAACCCTCAGGTACTACACACACACACACACACACACACACATCAACGTGACATTTGAACAAACAGCAAGAGGAAGTAGAAATTACCAGCCGAAGCTCTGCAACCTTGGACCCTGAGCTAATGAGGAGAGTGTGTGTTTGTGTTTGTCCATGTGTAGAACCTGCCCAGTGGAGCCAGCTTTGTTGGCAGCCTGAAACTCACCTACATCTCTAAGGTAAATGGCCGGAACTGTAAAAGCAGAAACATGTACAGATGGCTGACTGTGTACTCTCAGAAAGCTGAGCATTATCTGTGGTTATCATGGTGAAGTTCGGTGCAGAGCTGAAGCACAAGTTCTGTGAAGTTTTCCAGATGACACGGCCCTCACTGAGCTAAACCAGAGATAATGACATCTGGCTCCACTGTACAATCCTCACTGGACACTCTGACGTCAGACATAGCCCATGTCTCCGAGCTCACTATTTTCATCTTCTCTATCTCCCTACTCCACTCCACTGTACTCTACTCTGCTCTGCTCCATTTAATCTACTTTGTTCTATTCTACTCTACTCCATTCTGTTCTACTTTACTTAATCTACTCTGCACCATTTATTCATATCTAATAAACTCTATCCTTGCTCTATCTTTGCTATTCTATGCTATACCATACTGTACTGTTCTATGCTATGCTATACTATACTATACTATACTATACTTTACTATACTGTACTATACTATACTTTACTATACTGTACTATGCTGTGCTGTGCTATGCTATATTATATTATGCAATACTATACTATACTGTACTCTACTATAATGTACTATATTGTGTGATACGTTGGTATACTCTATTCCACTATATTATACACTTGTGTATAATATATGTATGTAATACTATCTGGTAGCATAGTGTGCTCTACTACACCATAATATACTTACTCTACTGTATTGGGTTATACTATACCACCATACTACTACAGAATGATTTACTTTGCTAAACCATATTGTACTGCACTATAATATACAGTATATGTTATACTATATGGTATTATACTGTGCTATACTAGAGTACAATACACTAAATTACTTAATGCTGTACTCTTTTACCCTACTAAAATATTCTTTACTGTGCTGTACTGCAATACAATTATACTATACTTTACTATACTATGCTGCTGTATGCTATGCTTCACTATGCTTCAGTGCTTCCCTATACTACGTTGTTGTGGTCCATCTTCCCTCCTCTTTTCCTTCTTCATATCTTGGGTTGGCCTCATGTCTACTTCTCTTCCTTAGGTGAGTGAAGCCACATTGAAGCAAAAGCCCAAGACAGAGTTTTGTTTTGGTAAGTCAGTATTAAACAACTCTACATTTATGACAGAACCGTGTCATGTAGTTATTATGGATACAAAGTGGTTATTCATGGATTAATCCTTTTTTCTGCAGTCATTAATGCAGTTTCACGGCGGTACTTTCTCCAAGCCAATGATGTGACTGACATGAGGGAGTGGGTGGCTGCTCTCAACAGAGCCAGCAAGATCACTGTGAGTGCCAGCTGGATTATTACTGGAAAACTATTTTCAACCGTCACGTAAAAGCAGAACAAACTAGGTTTTGTCAAACGTGCATAAGAAAAATAGGTGATCAGGTTTGACAGGAAGCTGTCACCACAGCCATTTGCTGTGGTGTTGTAAAGGCCAGTTTGACCTAGTGGGTAGATGGCAGCTACCGTGTCTCACACACTTGGTGAATAAGGAAATTGTGAATGTGAACACTGATGAGTGAAGACACTCTCACGTCACTGTGGTTAAGGTGTGAAGGCTCTGTTTTATATACATACTGTAGGTATGTGTGATTTAGGAGACGTGCACTGTTGCATCCTATTTGTGCTCGAAAACATTGCAGTGGCCTTTGTAACCGGAATAATCCAGATGTCAGTCATCACAAGAAGAGTGTTTCTCTGCTCATCTCACCTGCGCGTTGACAGGAAATAACGCTGTTCACTCTCTCTTTCACTTCCCCTTGTACTGGAGTGCTGCTCTGCCACTGTTACTGAGCTTCCTCAGACTACATAAAACTGAGAAGAGGTTTTTAGACCACTGTGGATAGATAGATAGACAGATACATAGATAGATAGATAGATACATAGACAGATACATAAATAGATAGATAGAACTTTAGCACCCTATGTAATGTAAATTACTTTAATAATTGTCATTATTAAATTATCATATCATATTCATTATCATGTCATAAGTGTAATAATAGCAATTGATGTGCTTGAGCAGTAGCTCTCTCTTGGAATGAACACTTTTGCAGATGATACACTCTCGATCAAACAGGCTAATGTCAGTTACTTTCCCTGCATTTGATACCAGGTTCCTAAATCTGGTCCTGCACCTTTGAGGTCAGACGTGGCCGCGGTGATCAGTGACGGTCAGGCAGGGAAGAGGCAGCAGGCCTACAAGACCGAGATCATCGGTGGTGTGGTGGTGCACACTCTCATTCAGGTGAAAAAAGGAAGCTTACACCAGTGTGGTTACTGCAGTGGGCATTTCAACACTGACCTTGATGGAGCAAAAATGTGCAATTACTGACATCTTGTACTGTACTTAAAGTGGCTGGGGACTTTTATATATAACTGCATGATGATAACAGGTTTTAAAAATGAGACATATCTGCAGTTCAAGGTTATGAAATTGCTTTAAAGTCACTGACGTTGGTTGTGATGAAATGTTTCAGAACGAGAATGAAGAGATGGAAGGCAGAGAGAGGAAGGGCCATAGGCCGGGGGTGTTGAGATGTGGTTACTGTGTGAAACAGGGAAATGTGGTGAGTACTTCACTGTGTACAATACAACTGATAAAACTGACATACAAATAAAGAACCACATGTTGTAATCTTTAACGTGAGCTATCTTTTCTAATCTAGAGGAAAAGCTGGAAGAGACGGTTTTTCACTCTGGATGACAACGCAGTTAGTTACTACAAGTCTGAGGTAGTGAGGAACCAAAGCAATTTTTTTTCCATTTCCTGTTTGTGTGACTGTGGCCTTGATGTGTCTGAGATTTCTTTTTGCTTGTTACAGGATAAGGAGCCGCTCCGAGCCATTCCACTGAGAGACATTCAGAGGGTTCACGAATGTCTCGTCAAGTCAGGGTGAGTCAAACATGAATCACAGGACAGACTTATCAGTGTCTGTGATGAAACTGACGATATTAATGTGTGTTTACACAAATTTTAATGAATGGAGATTTATTATTTGTATATTAATTATCTTTCTTCTCAATTCAATTCTGTTAAAAATAATCCCAACAATCAGTATGTGTTTCTAAACATTGTCCTTTTAAATATATTTTTTTTAATATTTGAAAAAAGAGACCTTGTGCTCCTTAGCACATTTGCAGCGTAAGGAAAAAAAAATGACTGCTCAAACTTGAGGTGAGAAGTTTGACATGTTTGTAACCAAGCAGTTGATGGTTAAAACAAATCTATGAAATGATTTGAATGGGAGAGTAAAAGATTAGGAAAAAAAGGTCAAACGATAGATATATAAGAGTAGGAGTATTCAACTTCACAAGTTCTTGTAACATCTGTGAATGCTCCACCCTGTTCCCTTTCTTATGCACAGTATATGATTTAACCATAACCATGTTTAACTTCCAGGGACCTCTTACTGAGAGACAACCTGTTTGAGATTATCACCAACTCTAGAACCTTCTACATCCAGGTAACACCCCCTTAACTGTTTAAAATTTAAAGAAAATAAGATATTCATTTGCGGGGAAGTCGTTGTGTTGTTTGAATAGTTGTTTTTTGTCTTAATGCTCTATTGGCGATGTGTAGCACCGGGTCTGTTTTTAGGAGTAGCGAAAGTTTGTTTTTGTGAAACAGGCACGGCCATCTGTTACCATAACAACAACAACAACAACATTCTGCACAGCTGATGTGGAAGTCTCTGATCAGTGGAGTGTGAAAAGGGGACAGTTTGTGCCCCCACAATGTCAAAATCCACTTCACTTGAACAACACCTATAACTGAAGATTCGAGAGAAAAAAGAAAAAGTCATTTTAAACACAGTTTTGAAAGGGTGTGTCATACACAGCAGAGTATACAGTTAATTTAAACAAATCAACACAAGGCTATATAAACACAGCAACACCATCGTGGTCCTAAGAAAAAGTTCAATTGCTATTCAGCCTATTACCCACTTGGGTGGAACATTCATATGTGTTGGTCTTGGTCTAAGTCTTTTTTTATCCTATTATATCTATGGTGAAAATGATCCAGAACTATATTATTTATGATTGTATACACTGACATATACAGCTGTATTAAAATTTTGACAAGAAGCTTTAACAGATTTTACTTCACAGCTTAGCCGGATTAACTCATATGTTTAAGCTTCAGTCAGTTTACCTTTGCGTGAATCTCAGGATGACATGTCTTCAGATTACACTTCAACTTTGTTATCAATTCACAAGTTGACCAGGTTATTCCTGCGCCTGGCTTTTCATACTGGCTTCTGTTTATTCTACTTCTGGACAAATATTGAATATGATTGGATCTCTGTTTAGGAGTCCCACCTTCTAACCAAATAACGTAGCTCTCATTTCTTTTCTTTGAAACCTACGAAATCTACTAATGTTATTGCTAATGCATGAATAAATGTGGCCATCAGAATTTAGCCCCACATAATATTATGAATTTGAGGATGTTGTGTCATGTACAACTCCTAAAACTGACGTTTCTTCTGGGACGCCTGTGTCAAACTCATGTCGCTCTCCTAACAGACAGACTCTCCAGACGACATGCATGGTTGGATCAGGGACATCGGGCAGAAGATTCAGGAGTTCAGAGGTCCACCCAAGGTAACTGTGAGACCTCTCCTTGTTTTTCTGGAGCCAAATGTCAGAAATAATAGTTTTAGTAAAAATACGACAAGTTCTGCTTGTGTCGATGCTCCAGGTTGATTTTGGGTCAGATACAATGCAACGTTTTGTCAGGAGGAGTATGTCACAAAAGGTTATACTATAGAATGGTATTTTTTTTGTTTGTTCTTCACTTTCACTATTAGAAGACTATGGTCTACAAATTAGATCAGACATTTAAAGCATTTGAAAGTGTTGGAATAATAAAATAAAATAAGGGCCATTTTTTAATGACAGCGTGACTTTCAGGAGCAGGGGTGGTGGTGTGGAGGGATGGCATTGCAGGGGGTAGAGAAAATGCTAGCAAACCAGTAGCAGTTGTTCAGGACCACACTACACTACAAAATATATATCAAAGTTAAACAGTGTCTCATATTGTCTCACAGCAACCGCATGGATTAACAGTGATTTATAACATTTACTGTTAGCCGTCTATTTTTTTTTTAAACATTCACGTGATCACATACTTCTGTGACGGATTCATTCAGACTGATTGGATTGTGTGTTTGTCATTGCAGAAGTTTTCTTTCAAGCGTTCTTCTTCTCTTTACCGGAGCCAAAACTCTTCCTCGTCCACGTCCCGTGGTCATCACTCTGACGAGTGCAGACATGTGCTGGTCAAGTCCTGCTCTGTAGCCGCAGGCTGGCAACCCTGGACTCCTGTCCCTCCTTGCGAGTCCTCCATTATGGATGCTGAGGATGAAGATAGTGCTTTCAGCTCCCTCCCTAATCTTCCTTCTCTCTCTTCCTCCTCCACCTCTTCCTCCACATCCTCCTCCTCCAACTCTCTCTCCACACCAACCCCTTGCCCCAGTCTTAATCCCCTACCTTCCACAAGTGGACTGGGGATACTCACAGCCTCAGGAGATGTGGCCTCTGGGCGTCGGAGACACCGATCCCACCCACAGCCTCATCCCATCTGCAGCTTCCCCTACAGCCTGGATGACGACGGCATCCGCACCACTGATGTCTAGTTCTCTGAGGTCCATGTGTAGTGGACCTCAATGTTGGTACCTGCTTTTTTAATGAATCGTACCGCTAATAAAGAGTATTTCTGTCTTTTGAAGAGACACTAGGGTCAGCTGCCTCAATGCCATGACGTGAAATTGAAGCCCCCTGCTGGTCTTGTACGTAAGTGTTTAGCAGATGAAGGATAATTAAACTGAAAGAGACAAAAATGTACAGACTTTGTTGTTTTCTGGTAAACAATTGCTAAGGTTTTCTTTGTGTAAAATCCTTTCAAAACTTGAATAGTCTTTTATTTTTTTTTAATTTGGCTCTTCTTACATACATATCACCATCACACCTGAATCTGTGTGTTTTTATGAAGGTTAGTGACCACATGTTTTATATTGAATCATAATGCACCTGATAAATGTTAATTATATTTTCTAGTGAAGAGAGTAGAGGTTTCCCTCTTTTTTTGGAAACATGGTGTATTTAAAACCTTTGACCTAATTTCATTAATAATTAACAAGTATTTCCCCCCTTAAGTCTAAACAAATGTCTGAAGGGTAAAGTTTTCATTGTGTACTCACATTCCCTTGTGATGACTGACGACAACTGTTGTTGTCAGCAGTCATCATCACAGCAGCAGCAGCTTCAATATGTTTTAACCTTTTTCTTATTCCTTGACGTGTGGCTTGAAGATCAACCGTCAGTAAACTGTGACTTTTCTTTTTGCATTTGATGTGGTACCATGACAGCACGGTTCTCTCGGTACGTGTCTTAGAATGTATTCCCAGCTGATCAGTTGGTTGAAGGATACGAAGTGTGTGTGGTTGTGTATGTCATTTTAATTGCATCGTTTAAATGGGAAATTGTGCCACTACTTTTGGTAATTTAATTCATTATTTAGCACTTTTTCTTGTCACTTATCTTCTCACAGCTTCTTCAGCAGATGTGTATTTGTAAAACAACAACAACAACAAACATCTCTGATGCTTTGTGTTACAGCCTTAGTTCCAGCCCTTTGCAGGTTCATCTTAACACTTCATTGATCATGTTCCATGCCTGTTTCCATTCTCTGAAGCTGTGTGCTGACATCTGCCTATGTATATTGTTAATTTTCTCTGTGCATTAAATATTGCTTTTTACCAGTCTGTTATTGACTGGTTAAAATTCACATATGGTCGATTTTATTTAATCTCTGTCTTGAAAACAATTCAAAGTTATCACACAGAGTTATGTAATTTACATACATTTAATTATTATAGACGAGGTTATGTTAGAACGTTATCCTTCTTTTCTTACTCATTCTTTCATCTCTTGTCATCTTTTAGATTGTATGTCACATTTTAAATGCAGGCAACTCTGTGCCATGGAGATAGAGCCTGTACTGGTTGTGATGTTTTTTATCCAGATTTCCAACTTTTGTGACATTGTAAGAACCATGAATTAGTTACCAGAGACTGAGACCAGAATACCATCACTGCAGTTCCTCTGAAATTAGTTAAAACTGTGACAACATACTTTTAAATACATCTATTTATTGCATATTTAGTATAAGCTGATGAACGTTTGTTAAAAACACAAAAGTTGTAAATATATTTTTCATACAAATCACATTAATTATCTAAATTATCTTTTCGTTAAAGCACATACATTAACTGATGTAAGTAGTTGATATTTCCTATGTTGTTTGAGTCTTGTCTTCCAGCACCTTGGAAGCATATACACAGTTTTACCACTAGAGGGAGGTGCAACACACCAGACTGTCAGAAGCAAGACGCGTCAAATAAGAAACGACTTCACATGAGCTTGATTTTTTCCCATCCTGGCACAAGGGCAGCCCACATACATACATGGGGTTTGTATAGTTTTTTTCTAAAATGCTATGTGTAGGCCGAATACTTAAATTAAATAATAAACAAATACCCAAAAACGACCAAACAAACCCAAGTCGTATTTGATAGACAGCCAAAATGATTTGGCTGTATTACGGATTTTATAGGGGAAGATGAGAACTTGTAAAGTCAGACGGAATTGGCAAAATATGTCCTGCTGCTGTACACTACACAGGGAGAACCACAAACCTTGATAGTCACCTGAATCGACGGTCCGGTTTGATCGTGGAAGCCTCAGCCTGTAAACAGCCGTGGAGTCAGATGTGGCGACAACGTCTACGATCGGTGAGCGACGTATTGAAAGCTTTTAACATGCTGTGCTGGCTAAGAATTTTTTTTGGCAGAGGGTCATTTATTTTATTTTTTATTTTTTTAAACACAAATGTCTATGTCTTTTTTAAGACATAACACTATGTCTTAATTTTAATTGATTAACAAATACTCAAAGTCATTGAATTGTGCAGTGCAGTGACATCAGTATGTTCTAGATATGTATTTTAAATGCATCAGATTTTGGACAGTGTATCATGTAGTCAATACAATATTTAGTTTATCATATTGGCCTCATGCCAGAGATGCCAACCCAGCGTTGTAATTATGCTCAAATATTATGGCAGTGATTTTTATATTTTGGACATTGACAAATTGGATTCAAACAAAACATTGCATTTAACTGCAATAATAATAGTTGCAAATGTGTTTCATATTTTCAATCCTCTACTTTTTGGTCTGTCTTAAACATGATCTTTTTCTTTCGGCTTTGTCCCTTTTTATCAGTGGTTGTCACAGCGAATCATTGATTTCCATATTGCCCTGTTCTCTGTATCTTCTACTCTGACTCCAACTACCTGCATGTCCTCCCTCACTGCATCCATATATCTCCTCTTTGGCCTTCCTCTCTTTCTCCTACCTGGTAGCTCCATCTCTAACATTCTTCTACCAATGTATCCACTGTCCCTCCTCTGCACATGTCCAAACCATCTCAATCTGGCTTCTCTAGCTTTTTCTCCAAACCATCCTGTCTGTGTTGTCCCTCTAATGACCTCATTCCCGATCCTGTCCATTCTTGTCACTCCTAAAGACAATCTTAGCATCTTTAACTCTGCCACCTCCAGCTCCACCTCC